TGAACTTTTGGGAAGAAAACTTCTAGTGTATTTCAAATTGTAGGTGACAACTCAGGAGAGGCTGTGAAATCACCTTAGTGAGATCACAGCTGGCTCTTAAAATATCAACCTGCATCTCGCATAGTAGGAAAGCATTTTGTGAAACTTGTTTTAATTACCTATGTGTGTATATACATATATAAATTATATATACACACACATATTCATGTGTGTATATATACATGTGTTGGCTTGCAATATAAAATTTTTTTTTTTAATTTATTTTATTTTTGACTGTGTTGGGTCTTCATTGCTGTGAGCAGGCTTTCTCTAGTTGTGGTGAGCGGGGGCTACTCATCGTTGCGGTGCGCGGGCTTCTCATTGTGGTGGCTTCTCGTGTTGCGGAGCACGGGCTCCAGGTGCATGTGCTTCAGTAGCTGAGGTGCATGGGCTCAGTAGTTGTGGCTCACAGGTTCTAGAGTGCAGGCTCAGTAGTTGTGGCGCACCGGCTCAGTTGCTCTGCAGCATGTGGGATCTTCCCGGACCAGGGCTCGAACCCATGTCCCCTGCATTGGCAGGCGGATTCTTAACCACTGCACCACCAGGGAAGCCCTAAAATGTTTTTAACTGTTACAGTTTAAAAAGTTTGAAAAATGCATCTTAATGATCTTCACGGTGAAAAAGAAACATGCCTTAATGATTTTCACTAAGTTTTGTTTGCTTCTGTTAGTTCCTTCATCAGGTCTCTCTTCTAGATAACCCTCTTCAGGCTAAAAAGAAAAAAATCAAAACCAACCAACGAAACAGGACTCATGCATTTAAAAAAATTTATTTATTTTTGGCCACACTGCACGGCATGTGGGATCTTAGTTCCCTGATCAGGGATGGACCCCATGCCCCCTGCAGTGGAAGCGCAGAGTCTTAACCATTGGACCGCCAGGGAAGTCCCTCACACATTTTCTTCTTCAGGATTTTCTGGGTACCCACTACATATTCTTGGATATAGCTTCCTACTCTCAACTTACAACCTCTCAGGGGAAAGCAAGTATGTAAACGGAACATTATGCGAGTTAGAGTAACTAAAACGTTGAGAAGTCACAAGTAACGTGTTGGGAAGGTAGGATGATTGATTCTGACCAGGTTATCGTGGAAGGCTTTATGTGGCCATTAGGCTCAAAATGTCAGTAATCAGAGATTGGCAAGGAAGGGTTTAGAAGTGTGTCTTTTTAAGGACTAATAAGTAATAGTTTGGCTGGATATGGTGTGAAAGATAGTTTTTGGAACATGCGCTTTAAAAGCATCAAATTCTATCTTGCCCTTAATAGCTTAATGCATTCAGAGCCACAAAGAACCTGTTATCATGTTAATTTAACACATTCAGCACAGTGTGATAATTGTGTTAAAGTTATATCCTAGGAGCAGTGAGTTGCCCTAATCAGAAATTCACACTCCAGGGATGGTCAGCTGGCACTCCAATCAGTGTACTTCACAAGTGACTATTAGAAGCCCTTCTGTTATCCACAGCTCACTCAATACAGGAGGCTTTGCTAATTAGCTTAATAAATGTCAAGTGTGTTTCCACTGGTGCCATGAGTGGCTTGCTAATGATCTTGATGTAGACAGCAGGTTCTTATTTGTGAATTCAGTACCTGATTTAAGATAGGTGGATAGGCTAAAAACGAGTCATTAACAAGAATGTAACAAGCTCTGTAGCTTGTACTTCTGTGGACAGTACCCAAGATCTGATTGCTAAATGCACCTCTGTCCAGCCATTAGTAGAGTATTCTGGTTGCCTGACGTTGACCACAGGGTGATAGAATTTTGCCCTCAACACTTGAGGCAGATGCTACTGCTTGCTAAAGTTTAATCAGATATTCCGTGTAAGGCAAATTGAGTATGAACTTTGCTTTTATGTTAAGCAGGTTGTGGATACCACTACCTGCCAAAGACTCTGAGTGGTGAAGGACCGAATTGGCTGTCAGTTTGATAAATAAGTTAAAGACGTCTGGTACTTTTAAGTTACTCCCGAATAATATCAGTCAATCATCAACACCTATTTATCAAAGCAAGTTTATTTGATTACTTATTCCAGACAGATAATGAGGCTCGTGTGTACAACTAAGAAATTAAGACAATCCAGATAAAAGGCAGGAAAAATTAATATGAACTACACAAACAGCTAGCTAAAAAGGAACAGGAGCTGCATTCATTTTACATAATACTGTGAAGTGATGTAGCACCATTTACCTCAAAGATATCCTAAGCACTTTTTAAGGTAATTACGTGGGTCCTTGCTAAAAATGCAGCGATACATTAAAAATTATAGCAAGCCTGATGATAATCTTATGTTCAACTACTTCAAATATAAAATTATTCCAGAAAAAATGGGAAATTTGGGAAGGGTCTGACCTTGTACAATTCTTTTAAAAAATCCTAAGGAAATAGTCACTATTATTGAGACCAGTTTTCTTCCACCACTTGCACTATATTCATCACTATCATCATGACCTAAATTCTAAGCTTTGGAAGATTTAATAGTTATTTATTTAAATACACACACAATTTTATTTATTAGAAAAAAAATTTTTTTACACTAAAGTTCTGTTTATTGGTCTGTTCAGTCTGTTCTGATCTGAACCACAAACATGGAGAAATAAGAAATTTAAGGCTACCAAAATCAAAGGATTAGGATCTTTAATGATAAATCCTATTTTTTTTTTTTTTACCATTTCTAATCATTATTCTAAGCTATTCTACTCTGATCATTCTTAGGTTGAAATTTGTTGAACTTAAGTTTGACCCTGTTAATGAATCTCAGTTAAGTGAAGACACAAATCTAATCATACACCTTTTTCTAAATACTGATGAAGTTTCATCTGAGATATATAAAGAAACTTGGAGAGAAATTCAGTGTTCCAGAGTCCTTCATTAGCCCACTTTACTAGTTAAGAGCCACAGTACATTTTCAGAAATACACCACAGAAAAATCTTAAGAAGAAAACTGCAAAGAGTTTGGGATTATTCAATCCTGAAAAGCTGTGGTTCCTAACTTTTGTTTAAGGGTCGTGACCACTTTGAGAAGCTGATGAAATTATGAACTTTCCCTCAGAAAAATGTATATGAACAAAAACTTCTTATATACACTTGCAAGGGATTCCCTACAGTCCATGATCCGCAGGTTAGGAATTTCTATTTCAAAGCTGTGGGACACAGTGGAAAATAAGTTTAGCCCATTTCGACGTTGCCCATCTTCACTTCACTTCACTGCAACTATATAGGACAGTAAGCATTTTAATGATGTTACTAAATCGCTGCCTTAAGACAAAAACTCTTATTGTAAAAGCATCGTCTTATAAAATCCTCTTGCCCCAATTTTACAAGGTTTTAAGCCATTTATCCTGTCTCTCAAATTAGTTGAGTCCCTAAGGTTTAAACTAGCAGATAACTGTTTCATTGATATATTATTCTTTAGAGCCAGTCACTGAAAAATGAGATTAAAATACCCTTGTGAAAATGAACATGTGTCTACATACTGAAGAACAGGTTATTTGGCTTTGTAAAATATATTTCTAGTTATATTTCTAGGTATAGTCTCTACACTTGAAATCAAATGCATCTACCTAGTGCCTGTGAACATAGCACGTAACTGCAGACCATTCCCTCTTACTTACTTGGAACCCTTACAATGGAGGTCTCCTACCATGGTAACAAAATGTACAGTTGACCCTTGAACAATGCAGGAGTTAGGGGCACCAACCCACTCACCCCAGTTGAAAACACCTGTACTGCTACCTCTGCTTCAAAAACAAAGGAATTGATACATGACTCACCCAAGGGCAGGAAGCTGCAACAGTCTGGATCGAATCAGGACTCAAACCCTAGTTCTTTCGATTCCACATATTGTGATCTCAATCAAACCTTCCCCTATAATTAATTAATTAGTTTAAAGTTCTGTGAAATGAAAATACAAGTACTATATTTATTGAAAAAAATCCACATATAACTGGACCCATGTAGTTCAAATCTGTGTTGTTCAAGGGTCAACTGTACTCAATGTTCTACCTACTGTTCAGGATAGAAAACACTTCATTTCTGACCAAACCCGCTATCTCAAAAGCACCTCATCAACTCCCCAGTTACCAAACAGGTTGAAGAATGCTATCTTTGAGAAGTCTAACGTTAAACTCTTGGCTATGTCTTAACCCCATGTCAAATGGACCATTAAAACAAGAGCAATGACTATACTACAGTACAAAGGTTAGGCCTGTTGCTTTCTTATTAAAGACGAACTCCGCTAGTTACTCCAAGGAATCGGTTTATATAATAGGGTAAACATGGATGTACGTATGGGAAATTCTTAAAGCCCTTATTAAAGAAGTTTTCAATCAATCAATGTTTTAAGTCAGGTGACAGTTATTCAGTCCTTGCATAATCATTCTCTTTTGCTCAAATAGAGTATTTATAGAACAAATCTCAAAATACTTGAATAAAGAAAAAGGGTCAACTAAGAGAACAGCTTTGCCAAGGAAGCTACAACTTGGTTATGGGATTTCATTCTCGTCTTTTGCTATATAAAAAGTGAATAATGGAACAACCATTGTTTTCCCCTTGCTCTTCTTTACTTCTAAGAAGTCTTTCTTTGTAAAAGTTAAACACTAGAATTTCCATTTCAGAGATGTAGGGGTCAGGAACAGGAGTGGGAAAAGAAGGATCCTGCTCTCTGACAATCAGAATTCAAGTATTTCAACTCAATGGTAAAGGGCTTGCAAGAGAAAATGGACTATTACTCCACTGGCTAAACGGCATCCCATGAGTCCTATAAAAACTATATAACCAAGGATTTTCCCTGCACTATTCAAATGTACCATTTTGTGTTTTTCCTACTGGACCTACTAAATGGTGAGTGAAAGCTGAAGACGGTAATATATACCAACATTCCTGGCTGTGTAATCTATACATTTTCGTTTTAAGAGTAATTCAAGCATAATCCATATTTAAAAAATTAGACTAAAGAGAGACAGTAAAGGTTTTAAAGTTTTCTCTTTGAAAAGATGGTATCTTACAGTACATACAAAAATACTCTGAAAATACATACGACTTCATTTACAAAACACTGAATCAACATATTACAAGAAGAATTACATGGTTATGGATTTTAATAAATGGAGCATGCGTTCATGAAACTTAAAAAATATTAAGAAATGCACTGAAAAAAGCAGTGTAAAAAAAGACAACTCATATATTTAAATAAAAATTACAAAGGTCCTGAGCCAATTAATGGTTGGTAACAATGTCATTCAAAAATGCCTTTAGGTTTCAATAAAATCCACTGCTCATTTCTGCATGCCTAGTCCACGGAGGAACTGTTTGAAGTTGTGGCGGTAAGTAATGGTCAGGAAGTATCATGCCAAGTTAATCGTACACTTCAAAAATACAAGTTTGCCATACTTAAAGGCATCTTACTGTTGATGCCGGAATGAGTTGCTCCTCAGTAAAAAATACCAGTCAACTAACAAGAAATGGCGTGAGATAGGATATGTAACAATTTCACCGTTCATATACTGACTTTCAGTATCCTGGTCATATTTTGATTCTTAATAAAGATGCATTTCAAAGGCCTCCATGGGAGGCAAAATATAGAGAATTTATGGTGCCCAACTCTTATGTAATCACTGGACTAATCCTCCCTGGTAACTATGCAACATTTGGATAGAAAGGCACAATAAAAATTTAAATATTCCGTGTGCCAATCTGAGAAAAAATAATTTAAATCAACAGAACAGACAATAAGTACATCTACACAAATGAGGAAAGCAGAGAAGATACCTCACATTCATTTATCTCAGGTTTCACAAAGTGGCTTCAATGATAAAGTAAATGTGTTAACATTTGGAAAATTACATTTTTTGTTTTGTTTTTTTTTGTTTTCAACTTTTTTAGTTCTATACAATGATTACAACATAAGACTTAAAAAAAAGAGGGGGGCGGTGTTCAGGACTTGTTTTATCAGTGTCCAGAGAGCCAAGAACTGGTTCCCACAACAGAGAAACAAGCATCGAAAGTTAAGGCAGTAAAACCTCCAACGCAAAGCCATAATATTGTAGATGATAATTTGATAGCAGGTGATCCTCAGAGAACTGTATGTAGCAATCAATGAGAGAATGCTACAGCATCTGCAGGTCAAAGTGTGAGAGTTCAAAAAACCACTTCAAGGTTGTTAGGCCGATGACTGTAACTTTCACCTTATTTTATGTATGACAGCCACCTCTATCTTAAAAAGAGTGGCTGCATCTATGCCACTAAATGATTGCATATTCACTTAAGTAAGGAGGCACTGCTTTTACCGATTTAGGGTGAGTCGAATGGAATTTTTGATGACACGGATGTTATTTGCTGGAACTGGAGATGATGAATCTGGTAGTTCTTTACTGGGCAGTCTCTGTTAGAAAGAAATACAATGTAGGAAAAACAAATACACATTATAAAGGTCCAACGAGTAAATCAGTCACAAAACTCTGAGTTTTTTTCCAAATGCTTTAAGTTCCTAAACACTCAAGTATGTGTTGAATATTTTTTCCCTATGTTCAAGTCCCCTTGTTTTGGGGACTTTTTTTTTTTTTTTAAACAGGTGAAAAGCAGAGGGATAGGGAAAGGGTAGAAGTGGGAGGACTGTATGAATAGGAAAGAGGACTTTGTTTAATCAATTGCCACTTCTAGACTGAGAAATGCATAAAGAACAAAGTCCTCCTCAGACTCAGGCAATGTTAAAGAGAAACAGCTGAAGAGCATGGTCACTAAACAGGAAATTCTTGGGGTGCAAGGTGAAAAAATGAGTGTGTGATACAGAGGAAAACTTGATATCCAGTTATAGCCTTCAATTAGTTTCTGTAATACATTCATGCAGAAGAATAACCCAACTTGTGAGATAATGAAGTTTTTAGGAAAACCAACTTTGTAGTCAGGGTAGGTAACTTCAGTGATGGTAAAATTCAGGGACATCTATATGAGGGCTTTTGAAGACACTAAAGGTTATTATATAATGAAGGCAAAGTCTAAGACTGAGAAACAAAGAAGCCTAAAATAACAGATAGTTGTCTGACAGAAACAGCATATCAGCTTCTTGTCAAGAGATGACTGCAAGAATTAATTCTCCTCGCATGTTACCTTAATTCTCCTCGCATGTTACCTTGGCTAAACAAATTATATCATACACACATCCATTCAAAAAAAAAGACATGAAAAATTTCAGATGTGCATAGAAGTAGAGAATAGGAAGGACAATGAAGACTTAAATGCCACCAGTGAAGACTCAGATGCCACAAAGAAGACTCAGACATTATTAAAATTTTGCCACATTTGTTTGGTTTATGCCCCTTACCCTTTATACTTGAAATCTTTTAAAGCAAAACCCAGACATGTCATTTCACACTTTAATATCATCTCAATTTTTTTTCCATTACCATACATAATATAATTATACACCTCTACTTTTTGTAACCCACTCTTATGTTAAAAGAAATTTTACAAATTCTACAACTAATAGAAAGTATGAGGATATTTTCTATTTTGCTTTAGAATTGCCAATACATCCTGGGGAACCTGGCAGGGTGACAGTTGACTGTGATGAGAAACACTTTATTATTTAATGGGGGGTGAAAAATAAGCCATTTTGTTTACTGTAACCTCTCAAATAAGGGCTTCTTCTGATTTACACAAGGCTGATTTTTTTGAGCACCTATAATATTATTAGCTTAAATGGTAATCCTTTGAAAATAAATTTTTAAATTGAGATTTAGGGGCTCTTTAGCTCATGTTTTAAAGGTACTTACTCTGTATACCAGTATATTTGGTTCCTCCAAAACATTAGTAACTATGGTCCCCAACTATCAAACCTAAATTTTGTCAGTAAGCAGTGGTGTACAACAAAAGACTATCAAGTGTTGGTAAGAAATTATTGTGCTGAGCACTAAACTGCTTCTTTAAAAATAAATGAAAACAAAGGTTGAACATAACCTGCATAAATCGTGAAGTCTTAAACGACTCCCTCTTTTCTAGACTTTTGAGGTACATACATTTAGGATCATACACTTTGTTTGCTATTTCCAACCCAACTTCCAACTATACTGCTGGTCTTTGAGGACAGGGACAAAATCTTACTACTCTTTTCCTCACCCCATGCTAGGCTCTTCTTAGTAAGCTTTTTGTACCTGCAGATTACCTATGAATTTTTAACTGTATATTTTATTACAAATAAGACTATCTATTACCTTTTTGCGTGATGTATCAATAGTTGGAATAGGCATACATTCTCCTCCAATGGCATCCTAAAAACAGAATTACATACAAGTGAAAACTTTCTTTCCTATATGCAAATGCTTATTTCTACATGAAATAAAACATAACCAAGAGTTGACAGATATAATCTGATCTACTTTTGAATATAGTACTCTTCCTGATACATGGCTCTTTAAAAGTAAATATTTTGAAGCACACTATTGATATACTTACCACTGATTTTCTTTTTCTGTCTTCAGCAGCACGTGATTCCTTAAACGGTGATTCAAGTCGAATAAACTAAAATATAAACATTAAAATGAGTTGCTATTATTACCTATAAAAACCACATAAATCTATATAAACTGAGAAACTAATTAGTGACCAGGCTAACATCAAAACTATTACGCAGGCTTCCCTGGTGGTGCAGTGGCTGGGAGTCTGCCTGCCAATGCAGGGGACACGGGTTCAAGCCCTGTTCCGGGAAGATCCCACATGCCGCGGAGCAACTGGGCCCGTGAACCACAACTACTGAGCCTGCGCATCTGGAGCCGGTGCTCCGCAGCAAGAGAGGCTGCGACAGTGAGAGGCCCGCGCACCGCGATTAAGAGTGGCCCCCACTCGCCACAACTAGAGAAAGCCCTTGAACAGAAACAAAGACCCAACACAGCCAAAAAAAAAAAACAAAACAAACAAAAAAACCTATTACGAACATGGTTTGATGAGGGAAGAGAATTTAAATTAGACAATTTAATTGCCACCCTTAATTTCTAAAGTTTTATCTTTTTGTTTAATCTATCCAGATGATAATGAATAAAACAGTTTTACCACCACCTACTGGAAGCAGAGGAGACCAACATTATAACACAATAAACATGATTATTTAGTTACCAATAATGCCTTTATGTAAGTCAAGGAGAAACGAAGATCATTCAAATTTTTAGACACATTAGTCATTTGAATTTTTAAATAATTTTTATTTTTGGCTGCATTGGGTCTTCATTGCTGCACGCGAGCTTTTCTCTACTTGTGGCAAGTGGGGGCTACTCTTCTTTGTGGTGGGCAGGCTTATTGCTGTGGCTTCTCTTGTTGCACAGCATGGGCTCTAGGTGCACGGGCTTCAGTAGTTGTGGCACACGGGCTCAGTAGTTGTGGCTCACAGACTCTAGAGCGCAGGCTTAGTAGTTGTGGCCCATGGGTTTAGATGCTCCACAGCATGTGGGTTCTTCCCGGACCAGGGCTCGAACCCGTGTCCCCTGCATTGGCAGGTGGATTCTTAACCACTGCACCACCAGGGAAGCCCAGTAATTTGAATTTAAGATGAACAATTAGTATTATCCTATTAGGGTTTAGGTAAATACTCTTTTTAAACAGACAAATCCTAATGGAACACTAAGATACTGAAGAATTTGAGTTTCTTCAGCACTATTTTAAGTTTACTTTGAAAAAAATCAACTACTGAATCACCACTGAAGTTGTAATTTTACCTTTTCTATGTCTTTCAACCTCTTAGAAGACCCATCTATGGATGGGGAGTGGGATCTTTTGGGGGTAACATTCTTAGTTATATTTGACATTCCATTTAGATGTGGCTGCCCCTGGGCAGGGCTGTGGGGTGTTGTGATTCTAGGAATGACATTTCGTCCTACTACCGTAGGAATGGTACACACAGCTGGAGGTGATACAGCTTTTACTGCAGAGTCAACTTCTGAAAAGGAAAAAAGAAAGATTTCAGTAATTAAATACAAATGTAGTAGTATCGTTACTAAAAAAAAGCGTAGATACCTACTTGCACCAATGACGGGAATAGACAGCCCTTGAGCTGGCGGGACAGTCAGTGGCTTTTCCACAACTACAGCAGCAGGCTCAGCATTATTCCTGTTAAAATATCATCATTAAATGATTTAAATAGTATGTATTTAAAACACTCTTATTTTAACATTTAAGATAATTTCTTTCAAGTACTCCTAACTTTTAACATTTCACTGAAGGAAGAGAAAAGGGTAGGGAAAGGAAGAGGACCCAGGGAGAGAATTAACAGAAAAAATTAAAGGAAAACCTGCACATTTCTGTGTACTTATCTACTCCCACATACTCATAAACCTATACCATGCCCCAGAGGATTACCACAAATTGTCAAATAATTCTAAATAAGAAACTGACTACTAACTGGCAAAATAAAATCTTTTTACAGTTAAAAAAAAAGTATTTAGCAAAGGTATAGAAAAGTTTACATTATCCTCAAATAAACTGAAGACTGAAAGGAAAATTTTGAAATACAGACCTTTCTGTCTCTGCTGAAGGAGGAATATCAGGCTTGGAAGGCTTGTTTGTAGACACTGGGGAATTAAAAGGTGTTCCATTATCAGTGTCTCTGGAGCTATCCAAACAATTGCTATCCAGAGATGATCTTTTGGATTGAGGTCCACTTGAACTTCGACTGACATCAGAAAGACTCTGCTGAAAGAGGGGAAAGCTTTTAGGATTTCAAAAAGTAAATGAGAAAAATGACTGGTTTCAATTCTGAAGTACATATAAAACAAATTATCTTTGGTGATTAATGAAGGTAAGATTTTAGTCCTAGATTGAACTGTCTGTACTTTCCCTCTTTCTTCTCAATAGGTTTGGGCGTTATAAAAATGCAAATTTGGTCCCAGGATCATTCGTCTGAGTTCCACTCAGATTGGAGAGTTACGAGTACAAACTCACCTTTTTCTTCTTCTGAAGTATCTCTGCGGGAAGGTAGTGATGAAGTTGTTTTTTTTTAACATGAGTTGCTTCAATTTTCATTCCCTCCTTTAGCATGTTTATATTGTTTGCCTGTCTGTACACTGTAACAGAGTCAGTATGTTAAAATGGGGAACTTCCTTCTGAACCAAGGGCTGTTTTCTTTTTCTGAAATACATACCTTTAATATCTCCACATCACTACACAAACACACATTCCTCTTACAGAACAAATACTTCCAAAACATTTTCACAATGTCACAACCCTATTCAAGTACTGACTAGTTTTCTCATGTCCAACTTCTAAGACTTCCCCATAATCAAATCTAACAAAATAAATGTATGGAAAAAAGGCTTTTTCCAAATCTTGTTTTCTGCTATTTTCCCCAAAGGCAATGTCTTCTCATAATTATTTGCCCAAGTCTGAGCTAATCCTAATACCAAATATCCAAGATGCAATTCAAGCTCTCCTCCTCCATGAAGCTTCTTTTTCTACACCAACCACAGATGTTAGACATGAGAAACCATCTAAAAGTACATCCTTATTATACAGGTGGGTAAATGAGGCTCAACAGCCTTGAATGCCTTGCCAAAATTGGAATACACGTAGCCCTAGGTCCCCAGTCTAGTGCTTTTCACTCCTTATAAGAAAATCATTTTTATTAACTACCATATAAATTATTTAATGTATGTTAATTGTGAATACCAAATTAGATTATAAGCTTACTCAAGACAGGGATGGGAGGTTTCTTTTGCACAGTAACTACTATGAAATGTAAATTATTTAATCTCTTGGGGCCTCAGTATCTCTATCTGAAGAAGAACATTTTATAAATCTATAATAAACAGAGCTTCCCAACCCCCTCATTTTGGAAAAATGAGTCCAAATTAGAATGGAAAAATTTATATCTATGTTTTCATTCCAGATTGCTTATAAAAGAATCACCAGGAGTGCTTGTTCAGTGTGCAGACTCCTGGCTCCACTCCCAGAGCATGTGATTCAGTGGTTCTAGGTGATGCACAGGAACCTGGATTTTCATGATAAATGTGAGTGCTAATTCAAAATAATTTAGAAAACTCAGATGAGCTAACCAAGAATATTAATAGTATGAATGTACACTATTCCAGATTATTAAGACAACTCCAAATTTATAACAGATATATTAAGATATTCCAGGGAGATATTCTTAGGGAGCTAGATGTGAAAGACCCTTTTCACTGATTCTGAAACATACTCAGCAAGCCTGTACTGAATGATATTTATTTCATGTAAAAAAAGTAAAAAGCAAGTCGCCTTTATGACTGTGATTACAAACACTGGCTGTGCACACTAAGAATCACCTATAGACTTTCTTTAGTCTTCTTTTTGTTTTAAAACAGTTAATACATTTACATGGCACAAAACTCAAAGGGGGGATTTCCCTGGTGGTTGAGCAGTTAAGACTCCACACTCCCAATGCAGGGGGCCTGGGTTCGATCCCTGGCCAGGGAACTAGATCCCACATGCATGCTGCAACTAAGATCCCGCATGCCGCAACTAAAGATCCTGCATGCGGCAACAAAGATCCCACGTGCTGCAACTAAGACCTGGCACAGCCAAATAAATTAAATAAGTATTTAAAACGACAACAACAAAAACTCAAAAGGGTTCAAGAGTATACAGTGAAGTTGCCTCACTCCTGTCCACTAGACACACCTGGTTCCTTGACCTAAAAGCAACCAGTTCTGCCAGTTTCTTTTTTAAAAAAACTATATATCCCTCCAGAGATAGTCTATGTATTTTTAAGCAAACATACATATATTCTTTCTTTACACTGGTCTGCAACCCCCCACCCCCCGCCCACGAACAGGTCTTGGAATTCGCTTCATCATGCCTTTACTTTTTTAACAGCAGAATTAATTTTCATGATATAGATGTTCCATCTTCATTTAACCAATTGCAGAACTTTAAAAAATATAGCCAGCCAGATCCTAGGCAGGTGATACTGCGTTACTGCCAAGGTTGAGCACCACAGCTCCATGATGACAAAGTCTTACCTGTATCAGTAAATGACTGTATATCATATGTCAAGTCTATATTAACACTTTCTGCATTTTCTACTCTCCGAAAAATTATTCCAAGGAACCACATTGATACGTAATTGTTGCTATAAAATAAAAAATTTAAGAATTTCCATTAATTTTTACAATTTTACAGATGCTATTTGGTAATTAAAACTTGGTCTATGTAAGCATAAATACAAATGTCAATGGTTTGGCCAAATTCTTAAAACTGACACCAAGAACACTGTTAAGTTATCCTGTGTTATTATACAAGAGAATTAAATGCTTCGAAAATGACTTACTAAATATATATTTAAAGATGCTCCAAATATTGTGATGGAGTTTTTTGTTGGGGTTTGTGGGCTACCAACATAGCATGTACTTAGTTTTAATGCATGACAACGCGTGATCAAGTATACAATGTATTATCCTCCATCAATGCCTGTTAAATAGCATCTCACAACTGATCTTAAACCATGCATATTTCGGATACCATTATTTTAAAAATATGATATTAAAAAATAATTAACTTACTCTTTATGATGTTCCTTATTTCCTGGGAATGATTGGGGATTTACATGGGCAAGAGTAATAAATTCATTCCGTTCCAAATTTCCAACAAGTACACGTATTTTAGATTCTACTAATCCAACCCTAAAATAAAGTGACAAGATTTTTCCATATTAAATGTGGAAGCTACATCCAAGTAAACCAAACAGCATAGTAGCTATGATGCTTTACAGGGTTCATGAAAAAAATTCAGTCCAATATTTTAGGGACTGTTTAAAATACCATTCAAGTAAATGAGAAGTTACTTAGTGAATTTCTGTTTCCTCCCCTTTCTTTTTCAAGAACAACTGATCTATTTAATGCATTCCTGATCTAAAATACCCTGCCTTTTAAGACCATAAAATAGTCATGATTGGAGCATGAACAAAAACTGTTCGTTAACCTGGTTCTAACTCTTTTTCTACTTTCAAATCTTATGCCTAAACCCTAAGGCTAACATATATTTAAATAATGTTAACAAAAAGAGCTAATAACTAGCACTTAATTCATGAAATAAACATGCTCTAATCTTTACAAAATTGATACTAGATATTAAATTTTAAAAAGAATTCACTAAAATCAGATCAGATACTACTAAAATATAGAAAGTTTCATCAGGGACTTCCCTGGTGGCACAGTGGTTAAGAACCTGCCTGCCAATGCAGGGGACATTGGTTCGATCCCTGGTCCGGGAAGATCCCACATGCCGTGGAGCAACTAAGCCCGCACACCACAACTACTGAGCCTGTGCTCCAGAGCCCGCGAGCCACAACTACTGAGCCCGCGTGCTGCAACTACTGAAGCAAGTGCACCTAGAGCCTGTACTCTGCAACAAAAGAAGCCACCACAATGAGAAGCCTGCGCACCGCAATGAAGAGTAGCCCCCACTCGCCGCAACTAGAGAAAGCCCGTGCAGAGCAATGAAGACCCAACGCAGCCAAAAATAAATAAAAAATAAAATAAATTTATTTAAAAAAAAAACTTCATCAGATACCTGCAACTTTACTTTCTACCTCACTTAAATGTGACTACTGTCACTTATTTTATTAACTTATTAATGATTTTATGAATTACAAAGAATAACTACAAGAACATTTTCACATTTTCAAACGCTTGAAAAAGCTTACACATTATAATTATGTGTTCTTCAACAGCAGATATACAAAACACTTAGTTACTCCTCTGTGTTATCTAAATGAGATGTTGGCAAACTTTTTCAGTAAAGGGCCAGAGTAAATATTTTAGGCTTTGTGGGCCATATGTTTCTGTCACAACTATTCAACTCTGCCATGCAGCAGGAAAGCAGCCATAGACAATACATAAATGAATGTGACTGTGTTCCAATAAAACTTTATTTATAAAAATAAGTAGCAGACTGGATTTGCACTATACCATAGTTTTCTGACCCCTAATCTAGACAAATAAAATGTTTTAGTGAAAGGATTCTTTTCAGGGTCTCTTTAAATTTTTTTCTTGTTTGTTTTTTCATTCGTTCATTCATTCATTCATTCATTTTGGCCGACCAGGGATTTGAACCTGTGCCCTTGGCAGTGAAAGCATGAAGTCCTAACCACTGGATCACCAGGGAATTCCCAAGGTCTCTTTAATTGTCAATGAAATAAGCATTAAACCCTTGAAGCAAAAACAGGACAGTAATAGGTTTTCCTTTACCAAAAAGCAGAACTGAGGAAAGCACAACCATCTTTGGTGGTCTAACAGTTTCTGCCTGATGGAGCTAGTGAAGTCAATACACTGGAGGCAGAAGGAATCAGTTCAGATGCGCCAGAAAGAATGTACTAGTCCTTGACCAAAAATATCTCCTATCCGTTGACAGAAGCTTAAGATTCTGAAACCTTTCATGCCACCACCATCTCCTAAATTAAAAGAATATATGGGCTCATACAACTCAATATCAAAAAAAAACAAACAAACCAATCAAAAAATGGGCAGAAGACCTGAACAGACGTTTTTCAAAAGAAGACATACAGATGGCTAACAGGCATATGAAAAGATGCTTAAAGTCACTACTCATCAGGGAAAATGCAAATCAAAACAACGAGACGTCACCTCATACCTATCAGAATGGCTGTCATCAAAAAGTACACAAATAACAAATGTTGGGGAAGATGTGGAAAAAAGGGAACCCTTGTGCACTGTTGGGGGGAATGTAAATGGGCACAGCCACTATGGAAAATAGTACGGAGGTTCCTTAAAAAACTAAAAACAGAACTACCATATGATCCAGTAATTCCACCCCTGGGTATATATCCGGAAAAAATGAAAACGCTAATTCAAAAAGATATGCGCACCCCAATGTTCATAGCAGCACTGTTTATAATAGCCAAGACATGGAAGCAACTGAAGTGCCCATCAACAGGTGAATGTATAAAGTTGTGGTGTATGTGCAAAATGGAATACTACTTAGCCGTAAAAAGAATGAAATTCTGACATTTGCAGTAATGTGGATGGACCTGGAGAATACTATGCTTAGTGAAATAAGTCAGACAGAGAAAGACAAATACTGTATTATATCACTTATATGTGGAATCTGAAAAATAATACAAATGAATGTATAAGCAAAACAGAAACAAACCCACAGATAACAGAAAACAAACAAGTGGTTACCAAAGGGGAGAGGGAAAAGAGGAGGGACGAATTAGTAGTATGGGATTAACAGATTTAACTATGTATAAAATAGATAAGCAACAAGGATATGTTGTAGAGCACAGGGGATTAAAGCCATTATCTCGTAATAACTTTTAATGGGGTACAATTTGCAAAAATAATGAATCATTATGCTGTACACTTGAAATTAATATAATACTGTAAATCAACTATACTTCAAAATACATATATGTGTATATATAGTCTAGGGGTATGTGTGTGTGTATATATATATATGGCAATAGGCTAGGTATCAGAATCATGCAAACTGCCTCAAAATTTTGCTTAAATCTGACTCTGAGAAGTGACAAAAGGCAAAAATCTGTACATATATTCTTATCTCATGTCACTTCCAATTCTGAAACATTAATTTGATGGCATTTCTTAAACACTGATGCTTCATGGTCAAGTACAACAGTCATCAATAAGATTTAATAATTTTGAAAATAGAGAAAGTGTTTTAGAAATGATAAAGCACCCTATAAATATGTTATCATAACACAGTACGTAGAGAACTTGAAATGTCTTACCACTCTAGATGATTTTCTTCTGTTGATGCACTGGCAGTCAATACTATATAATGTCTGTGAAGAATTTTCAGCAATAATCGGGGGGGAAAAAAGCCAGAGAAACATTGTTAGGGTCTGACTTTCCATTATTACTTTTTCTTTTTTACTCTTTACTCTTTCTTTATTACTCCTTCTCCCTCCCAATGAACAAAACAGCTAATACAGGCACACATTTATGAAAATTAAAACATGCTCTGATTTTCACAAAATTAATTCTAGACCTTCTAATTAAAAACAATTCACTAAACCCCAAAACCCACAAATACTGGGTTAGACACTACTAGAATATAGAGACTTTCTCATCACCTAGGGTTTCTGCTAACCTATTCTTTACCTCACTTAAAATATAAGTGACGTCACCTATTGTGTATTAACTTTATAAGTTTAACATTCTTCTTCCTTAAATACACACATACAAAATGCAAAATTTCAAATACCTATACTTTTGGAAAAAATTTGGTGGCTCAAGGAGTTTGGACCAATCTGATTTCCCTTGAAGAATTTCATCTGTGACTGCGAGACCTAAAGAAAGAGAGACAGACAGTGATTTTGAAAACTGACCATCGTATTATCACCTCCTGTGTGACCCTACCCCCAAAGTTCTAACCCCACCAAATCCCTGAGTAAAAAAAAGTGTAGACTTATTACGCTCTTTCTTAGAACATAAAAGTCAATTTCAACTAGACTGGGGTGGCTCTATTTTTGGCCTTCATATTATCATATATTTTGCAAAACCAAGTACTTAAAAAATACACATTTGAAAGAACTTTTAGAAATAATAGGCATAACTGCAATAGAGAATAAAACTGTTGTCGATCAAAAACTCGCGGGAACATGTAAAGGGTAATAGGGCTGACAGGTTTACCTTGTTTAAATTCTTCTACCATTACTGTTCGAGTTGATGTGGACACATTATACGTAGAATTCTGTTGTGGGTAGGCAGGGGTGATTATGGGCATGAGATGATACCTATCTGATGGATTTACCTGTGAAATTAGAAGCAGAATAATTGATCTATTCTCCTATTTCAGTTGTCCTCACTTCATTTCCCCAAAAGTCTGAAGAATATGAAATATAAATTTAACACTACATCTCCTCAGTTCTAAGAAGTACATTTCCCCTCCCCAACTTCAGTTATTTCTGAAGTCAGATGTGTCTGATAATCAAAGTTAAAGAAAACTCTGCAGAAGTTTATTTCTCCCCCGAAAAGCTGTTAAATGGATGATGCAGCTTATAAACAGTGGTCTTTTAGAACCAAGGAAATATAATATCATAAGTGCAAAAAGCATTATCTGGTCCAATGGTTCTCCATCCTCTTTCTGCACCTATTCAACAGATGACTTCCCCTTGGTTACTCAGAGGAATGAGTACTCACTTTAAAAGCACATTAAAATGCAAGGTGAGTGAGAGTTACGCTATCTTGGAACCATGAATCTGCTTTAAACTGTACTGCAAAGTACATCCTTTATATACTTCAGTACTTTATTATTAGTAACTAATTACTTGTAAGACAGTTTTTAACAATAGATTATAACATCTTGGTTGATATACCCACTCAAGTCTTATATGGGTGATTTTTAATGACATAACATTTGGATGGGAATTGGAGATACAAATCATCTGCACCGAAAAAACACAGTAGAGGGAGGGAAAGGACTATAGTTACACAGAAGGAAGATGAACAGGAACAAGAGGAATTATCCTTAACTAGATTGCACTTTACAGAATCATCCTATTCCTAAAAGGTTTTAATGAAATGCCGTAATAAGTCACATACCCGAGGATCCCAAACTGGCAAGTTCAAATTGCTTTCTTCCGGTTGCTTTAGCAGCACAGGATTTGGCCATTCCCTAACATGAAATAAGCAAATAAACTCACATAAGACCTCATTTCAGGAACTATATGAAATGTTAAAATCATTAGATGCTGCTCCAACTTTCACACAGCAAATGTTTTGGATATTTGGTATTGAAAAAAAAAAAAAGAAACTGACAAAGGAAGGGAGTATACAAAGGAAAAAGCTGCTTATTTTAAAGCAGTGTTCTCTGAAAGGGCAAATACTACTTTGCCCATTAGCTGTAACTAATTTAAACCTGAATTTTTTCTTTCCTTCTCATTTGCTTTCATGGACTTAACTCTGATAATTTAATAACAGCAACAGCTAACACTTACTGAGAATACTCCTAATAAATTGTGTGAAGCAGCTATAGTTATCATCTTTAGTTTACATATGAGGAGATCTTAACCTCTATATAGTTAGTAATTAGCAAAGACTACTCTCATAAGCTAAAGGCCCACATTCACAGTCCCCCTAGAAGAAAGCAACATCTGGGGTCCCATCATTACCTCAATTTTGACGTTTTTAAATTTAACTTAAAAAAGGAATGTAAGATGACAAAAAGTGTAAGCATAGCTCTTAAATTTGCAAACAAATTTACATATAGGCAGAGGTTAGTAAGTAGTGAAAATATGCATATGAATACTTACCACTTGGAAAAAACTAAGAAGAACTTATGAACTAAAGTGGAAGCTGCTGCATTTGGATATAATTGGCAAGTTCTTGCAACTAGCATTGCCCAGGAGACACCACCAAGGAATCCCAACATGTTGGAATAAATACCACGTCCTAGAAAATTAATACAGTTGTTAATTATTGTTAGGACCTACTATCCATGACATTCAAGTGTAAGGAACAGTATAACTTCCCTCCTAAGATTTGCTTAGAACTTTTCTCCCTTATAGAAACATTAAAATCAACACACAGACCTTCATGTTAGGCTCACATTCTTATCAATAAACCCTAAGCTGCTCATCTTACCCCCTACTTTGCCCTCCAATACAGACATCTCAGTTCCCTGCCTCAGTTCTGACTGTCCAACTGGGCTCTACTGATATGACATTGGAATTTCCCACCTTTCAATATCTGTGGTTGAGAGAGAAATGAAAGGGAGGAGGAAAGATATTCAGAGGGTCCACAAGTAGGGAAGAAAAACTTTTCAACAGTACACTAGTTCCCCCTTATCTGTGGAGGAAACGTTCCAAGACCTCCAGTGGATGCCTGAAACATGGGATGGTACTGATATTTATGATAAAGTTTAATTTATAAATTAGGCACAGTAAGAAATTAACAACAATTATTAAAATAGAACAATTATAACAATGTACTATAATAAAAGTTATGTGAATATGGCCTCTTTTTGTCTCAAAATATCTTATTGTACACATTTAATGCCTTTTCCATCTTAACTGAGTACTTATCACTGTGGTTATAATGTTTTAAAAATTAATTAATTAATTTATTTATTTTTGGCCGTGTTGGGTCTTTGGGGCTTTCTCTAGTTGCAGTGAGTGGGGGCTACTCTTTGTTGCGGTGCACGCTTCTCATCGCGGTGGCTTCTCGTCGCGGAGCATGGGCTCTAGGCGCATGGGCTTCAGTAGTTGTGGCACGCAGGCTCAGTAGTTGTGGCACATGGGCTTGCTCTGTGGCATGTGGGATCTTCCTGGATCAGGGCTTGAACCCGTGTCCCCTGCACTGGCAGGCAGATTCTTGACCACTGCACCACCAGGGAAGTCCCATGGCCATAACTTTCGCAGTTTCACAGAGGTGAGACAGCAAAACTAGCACGTATTTCTTTTTCTTCCTTTACAATTTCATGATAGAAGATCCGTTCTTATGTAGATCTTAGCAACCTCGACCTATGGTTTTTTTCCTTCCTTAAGTTGATAATTTTCACCTTTTCACTTAAAGGAAGCACTTTACAGGCTTCTCTTTGGCAAATCCAAGTTGCCAGCATCACTACTCTTGCACTTTGGGCCCATTAACAAGTTAAATAAGGGTTACTTGAACACAAGTACTGCAATACCATCTCTGTCCCAGGCAGGACAGCGAGAGATTTCATCACACTACTCAGAACAGCATGCAATTTAAAATTTATGAATTGTTTATTTCTGAAATTTTCCATTTATTATTTTCAGACTGCAGTTGACTGCAGGTAATTGAAACTGCAGAAAGCAAAATGGCAGATAAGGGGGGACTACCCTAATCATGTTCTTGGGCATTTAAAAATTCAACTGTAAAGTTGGGGACTGACTTCAGTATTGTGCAAAAATTTGTATATCTCTCCATAAAGTACAATACACCATCGATATTACTCATTTTCTTGAATGATTGTTTCTTTTTTTTGAATGACTGTTTCTTACAGCAATCTATAAAGAAGCATTACCATATTTCATCAAAACTAAGATGTCCTCAGTTATTATATAATATAGATGATTTTATGTCCCATTAAGAGAAAAAAATACAAAATATCATTTCAGTTATGTTAAATGTGAAAAACATGCATCTAATAATTGACAAAACATGGTATTTAATCTATAAGGAAAAACAAATTGTTCATGATACCCCTTTACTGCAGATTACTTTACCCTGACTACAAAATATAATTGAGCCCAAGGACAAATTCTACTTGCTTAAGGTCTTTTTAGATGTGTACTGTCCTATATGGTAGCCACAAGTTACATGTGCCTATATATAGTATTTTTTTGGTAACTTTATTGAGCTTTATTGAGCTATCATTCACATACCATAAGATTCATCAATTAAGTATAAAATTCAATGGGTTTTATTCTATTCACAGAGTTGTGCAATCATTACTTTAATCAACTCTGGAACATTTTCATCACCCCAAAAAGAAAACTTTAACAGTCACACACCTCTTATTTCCCCCAAGTCTTCCCAGACCTAGGCAACCACTAAATCCACTTTCTACCTCTATAGATATGCCTACTCTGAACATTTCACATAAATGGAATTATACAATATGCAGACTGGCTTCTTTCACTTAACATAATGGTTTCAATGTTCATCTATGTTGTAACATGTATCAATATTTCACTCCTTTTAACTGCCATATAATATTCCACATTATGAATATACCACATTTTGTGGTCGTTTCCACTTTGACATTATTAATAATGCTATGAACATCTGTGTAAAAGTTTTTGTGAGGACCTATGTTTTCACTTCTTTTAGATATTTTTTAATTTTAAATTTAATTAAAATTAAATAAAATTTAAGTTCAGTTCCTCAGGTGAACATTTCAAGTGCTCAACGGCCATATAGTTACTGTATTGGACAGCACAGATATGAAATACTTCCATCATCACAGAAGGTTTGATTGGAAAGCACTGTTTCAGATTGTAAAACCTGGTGCCAGAAGTGCAGCACAGCTTAAATGTAGTTACAAATAATACAAAATGTGCTGTGCCAGCTCAGGGCTGGGTCTTTTATGAACCACATCCTATATATATATAAACTAGTACAGTTCAAGGCTTTATTAGAAGAGTGTTGGAAGGTAAAAACAAAAGGTTAAAACTATCACAGTAGGTTCTTCATTTAATACATTTACTGAACACCTGCTATACACCAGCCTCTCTGCTGGTAATGGGGAGACAGAGATGATGAGATGGTCCTGTCCATAGACAGCTCGAACACAAGTAAGGGTTTTACTCTTCAAGTTCTAACTCATTCTGACTCCCTGGCTGCAACCCAAGATGTAAAGTCAGGGGCTTTTAGTTTTCACCCATGGGAGAAGAAGGTAAAGTCACACATCAGAGCACTGGTAAGCATCACACGTGAAAAAGAAATAGCTTCTCCAAAGCTTACTGCACCTCAATCCCCCAAGGTATCAACAGGTTCAGGAATTCCCATATATGCTTCTACCATGAGCAACTGAAAATTATAATTTTATAATGCAAACGTAAAATAAAAGACTTGGGATACTTACGTTTTGCCCATAGTTTGACTGCTCTTAGGGTGAGTCTGAAAGTTTCTTTATTTGGCACTAAATGCAAAATTTCATCAGTAACTCTACACCCTGAAAAACATAAAGCATTCATTTTTCATTATGCAACAAATTCCAGTTAATTCAAATGTCCTTCTAACTTTGACTCTCAAATGCTAAAAATATCAAAGATACTAAAATATGAGGTTTAATTTCTTTATGTACTTTAAATGTAGCTCTTATATAAGAGAAATCACTTTGCTTATAAAGAATTAAAAAGCACATGGGTTATACAATCCAATATTAAAATAAGAGATGAGTCTGAATATCTTTTTAGCTTTTTTCCACCTTTGGCTTTACTGTTAATCAAATGCCTCCAACTTATAAAACTGTTATTGCTTTAATGCAAACCTTATCCACAAATACTGTGATTTACTGTTGCACTCTGGAAATACAGCAAAATGCAATGATTAAGTTAAACAAAATATTGGGTTGGCCAAAAAATTCATTTGGGTTTTTCCATAGCAGCTTATGGAAAAACCTGAATGAACTTTTTGGCCAATCCAATATAAACCAGTGGTTCACAAAGTGTGGTCAGTGGACTGCTGGGAATCTATTAGGGCAAATCTATTTCTATAATATTAATGCTTTCTTTGCCTATTTCACTGTGTTAACATTTGCACTCATGGTGCCAAACCAGTGGTGGGTAAAACTGCTGGTATCTTAGCAGTGAATCAAAGCCATGGCAACAAACTGAAATAGTAGACAATATTATCTTCACCACAAATTTGCAGTTAGAAAACAGGAAAGGAACGTGTGTGATGTTTGAACATTTTCAAGGTAAGCTGAACTATCTGTTTTTTTCAAGGAACACCAGTTTTACTTGAAAGAATGATTGACAAGACAACTACAATTATTCATACTTGGGTATTTAGCAGACAGTTCCTAAAAAATGAACAAAGTGAGCTCCTCACTTCTAGGAAAACAAATGACAAAATTTGTTACCAATAATAAAACTTGAAGTTTCAAGTAAAAATTAGAATTTTGGACAACTGGTATCTGCTAGTGTGAGCTTGACAGCTTTCCAAGACTTAGACTTTTCTAATGAGATTGGTGGTGACATTAATGAATGTGATTTTTTAGAAAATTATTTTATAATGAAATGTGTGTTAACATTTAGATGATCCAAATAACTTTGTGAGCTAGTATTTTCTAAATGACTAAGGCATGACAGGACAAAATCATGCATGGGTAAAAGATCCATTCAAAGAATAAGACAGACCAATAGATTTTAATGCAACAGAGTACAAAAAGTTAACTGATACAGTTTTAGGTTTGATATTCTAATTAACACTTTAAAAAGATAACTTTTATTCAGCAAAAAAGGGAACAAACTACTGATATATGCTACAAACATGGATAAACCTCACAAACATTATGCTAAGTGAAAGAAGCCAGACACAAAAGACCACATATTACATGACCCCATTTGTATGAAATGGCAAATCTATAGAGATAGAAAGTAGATTAGTGGTTGCCTGGGACTGGAGGTTAGAAAAAGGAATGATTGCAAATGGGTATGAGGGATCGTTTGAGAATGACGAAAATGTTCTAAAATCAGATTGTGGTGCACAACTCTGTGAATATACTAAGACTACTGAATTGTACACCTAAAAAGGATGGATTTTATGGTATGCAATTACTCCTCAATAAAGCTGTTGAAAAGAAAAAGGAAATTGGGCCTCCCTGGTGGTCCAGTGGTTAAGAATCCACCTGCCAATGCAAGGGACATGGGTTTGAGCCCTGGTCCGGGAAGATCCCACATGCCGCAGAGCAACTAAGCCTGTGCGCCACAACTACTGAGCCTGTGAGCCACAACTACTGAACCCGCGTGCCACAACTACTGAAGCCCATGCGCCTAGAGCCTGTGCTCTGCAACAAGAGAAGCCACCGCAATAAGAAGCCCGTGTACCGCAATGAAGAGTAGCCCCCGCTCGCCACAACCAGAGAAAAGCCCGCGCGCAGCAATGAAGACCCAACACAGCGAAAAATAAATAAAATTTTAAAAGAAAAATAAATAAATAAATAAATAAAAAGAGGCTTCCACCAGAAAGAAGATTATTTAAAAAAAAAAAAAAAAGGAAATTGTCATCAGTCAAGTTTTGGTGTAGTATTAAAGAATACCCACAATTATCAGAAAAGGCTATGAAAATGCTTCCTTTTCCAATTACATATCTTTAAGAGGCCAGACTTCTTCCTATACTTCAATCAAAACAAAATTTTACAAGAGATTGGCTGCAAAAGCAGATATGAGAATCTAGCTGTGTTCTATTAAGTCAAATATTAAAGAGTTGCAAAAATGCAAAAAAATAAAAAAGCCATTCTCACACAAAAATATATTTATATTCACTTATAATGGGTTTACTATTGTTATTTTAAAATGAACTAATAATTAAACACCTTAAAAATTTCTCAGTTTTTATTTCTAATATGATAAATATAACTCACATAAACAGAAGATCTTGGGGGGGGTTGTCCTCAAAAAATGTTTAGAGTATAAAAGGGTCCTGAGACCAGTAAGTTTGAGGACCACTGCTATAAACATAAACATTTCAAGTAAATTTGTGTTTTAAGATGCTTAAATGTGATCAGATTACTTGTATAAAGAAAATTACATCATTTTTAACTGAGTTTGTCTAATTCTTAAAACGTCTATTAATAGTTTTGCAAAAAGATCTCTATTCGTCTAATTGTTTTCAAGTAGGTATCTGAGATTTCTCTTTAGAAGCTTACCATTTAGGCTGCGAATACACCTTATATCAAGGCTTCTCAGTCGAGAGTCGTCTCTTAGATCTAAATTATCTGATATGGTTTGTATTGACAGTCTTGCAAAGACTAGATCAATCTTTGGAAAGATGAAAAAAAAAAGAGAGAGAGAGAGAGAGAAATATTACTTTTTCTCCTTTTAGTCCATTCTTCCCCCTTCCCACCTCAAAAATGTAAAAAGTTCTAATTATTAGTTTGGGAAGTTCTACCAAAACTTCCAAAGACCTATGCAGGTAATATCACATTGGAAAATCACTGCAAAGTTTTGGGAGAATAATTTTCAAATTAAGAGAAAGCATTTTAATTTTGCCAATCATTAAAAAAAATCAAAACCTTGTAAGTGAATTTCTAGTTAAGATGGCAGATCCAACACATTTACATTCACTCCCTCTTGAAACCCCACTAAAATACCAGCAAAATTTTGTTTTGTTTTTTTGTTTTAGTTTTATTTTGTTTTTAAAGGCATAACCCACTAAGTCAAAGAGAACAGAAGGAGACAACGGTAAAAACCATGAAATCTGGAAAGCAGATGGACAAATGGTAACAGACTCAGCAGATCTAAGGAAGCAGAGATAAAACATATTTTATCTGGGAAATAAGGACAGGAGGCTGTAAATAAGTTCTTAAATAAAAAGGAACATTTAGAGAATAAAAAAGTATTCTTAGAAATTAAAAATATGATGGCAGGGCTTCCCTGGTGGCGCAGTGGTTGAGAGTCCACCTGCCGATGCAGGGGACACGGGTTCGTGCCCCGGTCCGGGAAGATCCCGCATGCCGCGGAGCAGCTGGGCCCGTGAGCCATGGCCGCTGAGTCTGTGCGTCCGGAGCCTGTGCTCCGCAACGGGAGAGGCCACAACGGTGAGAGGCCCGCGTACCGCAAAAATAAATAAATAAAAATTAATTTTAAAAAATATGATGGCAGAAATGGAAAACAAGAGAACATTTAGAAGATGAGAAAACCCCAAAAAAGCAGAACAAAAATATGAAGATGTAGTTATAAGTGGGAAGGAAGAAGTAAAACAAAAAAAACCCAAAAAAACACGACAGTCCTGGGGGTCCAACATACAAATGTTAGGAGTTCCAGAAAGAGGACAGAAAACAAAGGCAGGCAACACAATTGAATTCAATACAATTTCCAAGAACTGAAGGACAGGTATTTCCAAACTGAAAGAACTACTTGAGTGCCTTAGCACATTTGGTTGAAAAGACACATACCAAAACAAAGTGTATTACCATAAATTTTACAACTATGAAGACCAGGGAAAAAAGAAGAAAAAAGAAGAAAATCACACAAGTGGCCAAAAAGGCAAAATAGGTCACATAAAAACGATGAGTAACCAAATTGGCCTCACACTCCTCAACAGAGTGTGGAAGCTAGAAGACAATGAAGCAAGGCCTTCAAAATTCTGAGAAACATTACTTCCCACCTAGAAGTCTATGCTTAGCCAAACTATCAATTTGGTGTGAGAACAAAATAAAGATATTTGTAAACATTCAAGATCTCAAAAATATGTGCTCTTTTTCAGGAAGCTGGTGGATGAGTGCCACTAAAATGAAAGTAAGTCAAGAAAGAAGAAAACTCAAGAGAGAAGCAAAAGGAAATCCCAGGATGAGAGAAGAAAGGTGTCAGAATGACGGCTGTATATCAGTCATGGAGAACAATCAGTGTGGATTAGAAGAAGTGAGAAGAATCAGTGAGATATTTTTTCAAGACGATAATGACAGGACACCTGAGAAATCCAAATCTATTTAGCGGAGATTCAGACAACTAGGAGAGACTGAATTTGAATTAGTCAAAGTATAAACATCAAGCAAATAAAACCCAAAACATTAACTCCCAAGAAAACAAAAGACACACAGCAAAGAATGGTAACCTAGTACGTTTTGTGCTCAGTTTTGAACATTATTTATAAGACCATAATAATATAAACACTGAATACTGCTCCAACTAAAACTATAATAATATAATTATTTTAGGAGATTATGGGAATGAGAAGGATGTGTATAAACATCTTGGGGGTAGGGATGGAGGCTGGTTCCTTTTCCATGGTGAGGAAGGACTCACCATGACTAGAGTATTTGATTCCTTAAAATTTGTGCCTGTATAAGTCTGATTTTTAAACTATAAAACAAACAAACAAACAAACCCATATAGGTTAAATAATTCAATTATAAAGTCAGAAAAATATTTAACACTTACTTCAATTCCATCAAATTCAAATTTTATAACAGGCACAAAGGCATCTTCTACAGCCTACAATAAAAGAAAACAATTATAACAAATAAGGTGTAATCCTTTATCCTTCCCAAATGCCAATAACATGAATACTTTTTCTCCCAATTTTTATTTTAACTCAGTAGGAAAACTGAAAATTTTCTTAGTTTCTCATTCTACCTAAGCAAGCACTTCTACTTTGTGACTGTGTTATTTAAGATACGCAAAATGTCCATGACAGTAGTTACCTAACATATTATCCTTCTAAAAATATTCATCAGAAACTGGCAGGCAGAACTGCTATCATCTGGGTATTTACTATTTGTTGAACTTAGCTGAAAACTGATTATTTACAAAAAGCACAAGTGTTAGATATTAAAATATCAGATCTCATGACTAATCTATCAAAAAAAAATCTATATCATTTGGATTTAGTAGAAACGTTTCTCTGAGCCTTCTTTAATCCCCCAACCTAACAATTTTTTTTTTCTTTTTTGTAAATTTTTTGGCCCCACTGCTATGTGTGGATCTTAGTTCTCCGACCAGGGATGAAACCCTCGCCCCCTGCACTGGTAGCTTGGCATCCTAATCACTGGACCACCAGGGAATTCCCCAACCTAACAAATTCTTAACCTCCTTCTCCATTCCCAGACACCCAAATAACACAAAGCCTCTGAGCTTCGCCTTATCCAAGCACTTGAGATTGCATTAAAACTACCTGTTTGTTTAGTACCCCCAGTCCCTCCCTCACATAAACTATCTTGTTCGCTCTTGTATTTGTGGGACTAAGGCCAGTATCTGATGAATCACTGGTGCTGAAATTTTATTTGCTGAATGAATGGCTAGATATACACACATAAAGAGTTACTGGTTGAACCTTATACATAATGAGCCATTTGCTGTGCACCAACCATTTATTAGATATTATAGTAAATGATTTATGTAAATTATCTCATCAATCCTCCAAAAAACTTTATAAGAATGTTATCACTAGATCTTCATTTGATAGCTAAGGAAACTGAGACTCAGAGAGAATAGGTAACTTGACCAAAATCCACAAGCTAATATGTGGTAGATTCTAGATTCAACACAGGTGTGTATAACTAAAAAGCCCATGTTTTTAGTCATTACTGTTATTTTAACAAGATACAGCAACTTCTTAAGAAATACATCAACCATCATAAGCCCTAGCTTTTGCAGTTATCTGTTAACAAATTCAAAATATTAAATACGAGAGGACACTTACTCTTAAGTTTCTAATGCCATCTTGATGTTTCAATTTTTCAAAAAAAGACTGAAAAAAATCAGATCTCTCCACATGTCTTGGAGCAACACAAAGTGCATCAATGTCAGCTCCTGCAAATCAAAGTATTTATTATCAAGAACAGTATATTGAATATGTATTACATTTTTGTATACACAAACATATGTACAGAAGAAACTACGTAAGATGAGTATAGGAAATAATATAGTACTCTAGTAGTGAGATAATGGGAATTTTTTCCTCTGTATTTTCTAATTATGAACAACAAATAAGTTTGTTATTGAAAGTTCTTATCAGTAAAACATAGAAAAGCAATTACCTTTGGTGTGTACTCCAAGCCTATAGGAGCCAAAGGTGAAAATTTTTCCACCAACAGTAGCCACAACAGAAGGTGGGAGATTCTAAAATAAAATAAAAAAATTTTTAAGGCATTCAATTGTTCAAATTATTTAGCATTAAAATTGTCTAAATGCTCTAATACATGTTGACAAGGATGTGGAGAAAAGGGAACCTTTGTAGACTACTGGTGGGAATGTATATTGGTGCAACCACTGTAGAAAACAGTAGTAAGGTTCCTAAAAAAACACTAAAAACAGAACTACCAGGGACTTCCCTGGTGGTGCAGTAGTTAAGACTCCACACTCCCAATGCAGGGGGCCTGGGTTTGATCCCTGGTCAGGGAACTAGATTCCACATGCATGCCGCAACTAAGGAGCCCATGCATCGCAACTAAGGAGCCAGCAAGCCACAATTAAGGAGCCTTTGAGCCGCAGCTAAGGAGCCCACCTGCCGCAACTAAGACCTGGCACAACCAAATAATAAATAAATAATTAAAAAAAAAAAAGAACTACCACATGATCCAGCAATTACACTCCTGGGTATATATCCAAAGAAAATGAAAACATTAATTTGAAAAGAGAGATGCACCCTAATGTTCATAGCAGCATTATTTACAATAGCCAAGACACGGAAGCAAACTAAGTGTCCATCAACAGATGAATGGATAAAGATGCGGTATATATACAGAATGGAATATTAGCCATAAAAAAGAATAAAATTTTGCCGTTTGCAACATGGATGGACTTCGAGGGTATTATGCTTAGTGAAATAAGTCAGACAGAGAAAGACAAACACTGTATATCACTGACATGTAGAATCTAAAAAATAAAACAAACTAGTGAATATAACAAAAAAGAAACAGACTCACAAATACAGAGAACTAACTAGTGGTCACTAGTGGGGAGAGGGAAAGGGAGAGGGACATGATAGGGGTAGGGAATTAAGAGGTACAAACTACTATGTATAAAATAAATAAGCTACAAGGATACACTGTATAGCACAGGGAATATAGCCAATATTTTATAATAACTATAAGTGGAGTATATAACCTTTAAAAATTGAGAATCACTATGTTGTACACCTGAAATTTATATAATATTGTAAATAAACTATACCTCAATTTTTAAAAATTGCCTAAATGCTACTGATATGTACTACATTTGTCAAGTTTGGTGACCTGACGTTTGTAAAAGTACTTCAGAGCTTTTTTGATTGCAGCTGAAGTAATGAAGGTATTCCCAGAGGAAAGACAAGACAAATTTGTGTCCAGTATACATGCACACATCTCTATCTTAAGAAAAACATTTTTTATCACTTGACCCTACCTGTCCCCCCAAATTACCTGATTTGGCTCCATCACTCTTAATAGTCACCAAGGAACTTGCAACTACCAAATTAATGCACTTTCGCTCTCTACAGTTATCATACTATCTCCCCTTTAGTTTTTGTGACAGATATGCTTAACTTATTGATTCTAGCTCTGTAATATTTCTGCAAGAAAGTGGGGTAATTCTTGACATGATCTCCTTATGAGACCTAATCTAACAACTTTAATTAACATATTTTTGGTTGTACCAGAATTACAATGCTACTTTTCACCTCTCTCTAGAGCCAATTCTAACTGCCCATCAGATATTTTCACTCAGACTTTCTGATCCACTTCAGTATACAGGTCTGAAACCTAGCAAAAAATTCTTCCTATGATAAACCAGGTATACCTCCTGATTTCTCCTGATTTCTCTATTTTTGTTCCTTATTTTCCTTACTGCCCATACCTATAAGTCATTATTATTCTTCCTGGCTTACCAATTCTTAGGTTATATCCCTCACATGTCACTTCCTCCCCACCCACTCCCATTCTGTGCTATTTAACAGTATCATAAGTTACCCTCTTGCCATTAGTCTTTATTTCTTACTCCATTTTGTTAAAAATTCACTGGCTGGTGTTCTTAAATTAACTCTATTACATAACTCTTCTGCTCAAAACTTGCCAATGCATTCTTCTACGGATACTGATCCTTGGATCCCAAGGACTTCCACAGTATGCTCTTAAGGATCTTTCTTGCCTTGTCTCCTAATATTCCCTTCGAAGCTCCAACTGCCAACATGTTACATAACCTAGTCTCCTTTCCATTGCATTTGCCATTTTCCTTCTCTCAAATGCTTGCCATCCTCTCTGGGTATCTCAATACCGTCTATTTTCCAAAGATCACTTCAAGTTCCACCTCCCTCATGAAGCTTTCTTTGATTATCCATCTTGTAACAAGCTCCTTTTTCCCCCTGTGCTCCTCTACTGTTATTATCTTTAACCACTTTTATACTACATTTATTGACTTTTTTTATTCTGTGTATGTTAGTTCCATCTCTTCAACTATATTTGAATTCCTTGAAGGTGAGAACTATGTCTACTACTTCTATTTCCCCAAAATGCCCAGTCCAAGTTCCAGAGAGTAATATCTGCTAATGAACTTGACTAAAAGTATCTGCATAACAGGACATTGTTTGTTATTTTCTCTGTTTAACGGACATGTTTCAAGAGTACCACAAATAATAGCTAGAAAGAGTTAATAAAATTATTGATGACTAACATGAATCAAAAGGATAGAGAAGCCCCTTTTAGTTTACCTTCCTACTTTGAAAAGCATGATTTCTTCTTGATTTATGAGAAAGTGATAAACTGAATCACAGAGTAAAGTATTTTCCCCACAAACCACAGTATTTAACTAAAATGATTTGACTTGGAGTTCTGGACTGTTTAAATATTCCAACTGTGTGTGGAATACTAAAATGATCTTTGATCTAACTCAAATCCTTCAGATATTTTTCAAACTAAAATATGCATAAATGAAAGGGAATTATAATGATATAAAAAAGACCAATCACCTTATCTATGCAAATAAAGATGTTAAAACCAATTAAAAATTTTTAAATGATTACATATTTTATTTTCTTTGCTTAAAAAATGCCAAACAGTGGCAAAGCCTCAAATTTTTAACAATGGTTTTATGCCTAGAAATTAAATGGAAACCAGTTACTGGTCTTTGCAAATTAAAGCACTGATGTGAATGAAATGAGGGAAAAAGCAATATAAATAATTAAAAACAAAAAAACCTTTTGACCTTGGAACAGATTCTACTGGATTTTTCTTTTAGGTGCAAAAAACCACACAGTAAGAAAATTAGTTAGGTGTATCTCTCAATAAAGTAATCTAGCCTCTTTTGTGAATAGTTTAACACTTGACTTCCCTTGATGTATCCTAGAATATGGATGGGAGCAAAGACCTCAGCACAACCACATCAGCTGACATAAAGACCACACAAGAAGTCATAAAGCTTGATACTCTGATTTTAAAATAATTCTAGCAAGTTGTGTATCTGGTTTGCATACCCACAGCAATTATGGGCTGACATTTATTCAATCCCTGAGCTCTGTCCTGAGGTTGCACAGGTGAATAAGACAGGTTTATTTCTTAAGGAGTTGATCAGCTAGTAGCAGAGAAACAAGCATGATTTTTTTTTTTTATTACTCATGACTAGCATTTCACCTGCTCAGAATTCAACCTAACTGAAAACCTCTACTATTGATAACCCTGCTGTGAGCTCAGAAATGAGCCAGATAGTCATTTGGCAGCAAAAGTAAACAGCGTAAAGACCATTTATTTAAACTCAATGATTGTAGATTAGCACAGTCCCTCATAACCTTATTCAGAGCCCATTTTTTAAAAGAACCAATTTTATATATGTATCATAAGTACAGAAGGAAATAATAAAAGTTGTAAAAGAAAGAATTCTAACAGGTGTTTATCTAATTTCTAAACTGATGCAGATTAATGGGCAGAAAGGGATTTGACAGAGAGAGACACTACTGCTGTGAGCCATTAACTTTCAGCTGAATGCTGTTAAGAGATGGGAAAAACTGTAAAAAAAAAAAAAAAAAATCCCTAAAATTTAAAATACAACAGTTTGAGCCACTTCGTGAAGGGGCAAATAGTATTACGCAGTTGAACATGCCCTACCTCATTTTACTACAGCCAGTAAAATAATATTCATAGTGATGATTCCCTGACAAATGAGAATTCAATTATACTCAAAATACTCTAAGAAAGCAATAAAAATGTAATCGATTTTAGAAGAAAAATAGTTAAGCTACCAGAGGGGGGAAAAAGTTGTGTAAGTATAAATTAGGGTTTGCAAACTCCTATGTCTCATGGGCCAGGCAGGAATGCAAATGACGAAAGTATACACATAAGAAACACAGAAACTGATAACTGACAGTTGCTGTGTCAGAGAGAGCAGGGAGTGATGGGGACCATGAAGCACTGAAGGGGAGGAGCCCAATTCCATTCAAGCCTCTTCCTGCCTTGCACAAAGGAAGGCCCAGTGCTGCCAGACCTGGTATTTCACAAGAAGTCTGAAATCTGGCTTTTAAAGTAAAATCTCAGTATTTAAATTTTGATCTACTACATGTGAGTCAAGCAAGACATTTATGTGAACTCCAGTCAGACACTGGCTACCTCTGGGGTAAATCCTCACTTATTTAGGACTCAATATCTACACCAATTAATTTCCAAGTATACTAAAAAGTTTTAATGTATTTCTGATTATTCTCAACTCTGCATCTTACTACCAGAACATAATGAAACTATGAATTCAATTTAGTTTAGAGTCTTACCTTACTCTCACTGACCTCAGAAATCCATTCTTTCACTAAATTGTTCAGTTTACCAAGAACAACCAGCCTATAATAAAAAATAACATGCTTTAGATGAAAACAAACACACACCAAAAACAAACTATTTTAAAAAGTAATTAAACATATAGGCAGTACCTTTGTGTTGGTGCTAGAGTAAAAGCATATTATACACGTGCTAATGCTATCACATCTGTTGACACATGGCACATCTCTTTGGCATTCTTAGGTTCCTAAGAGTTCCAAAGAGACGATAAATGTGATTGATAGTATTTTGGTCTTTGAGCTATTTTCAAAATTCAAAAAGCCTAATAAAAAAATCAAAATTACCTTCAATAAAGCTGCAGAGGCCAACTGAACTGTCAACTTTCTTGGCCTTACTATGGAATAAAATCAATTCAGTGTGGTGATAATAGAGGTTAGCATTCTCTGACAGTTATGAGTTTTTGGATAATAAAAACAGGTAAATAATTTATTGGCTAATTTTTATAAAATTTACTTAATAAAAGCAATTTGATATTAAAACAAACTTGCAACCAATGGCATATCCAAATCCAGATTTAAAAAAAAAAAGAAGAAAGATAGAAGAGTTTAGGCATCTCAAAGATAACACATGAAAAACTGAATTCCTGATCTGTCCGAACCTGCTTCTCCTTCAGCCTTCCCCAGGTAATGGAATCCCATCCTTCGAGATGCTGAGACCAAAAATCTTGGCATCGTCCTTGACCCCTCCCCTCCCACCCCCTCACATTCCATAGTCATTAAACCACCCTACTTTTAAAATACATCCAGAATTCTACTACTTCTTATCACTTCCACTGCCATCCCTAGTTCTGGCCACCATCATGTTTTTCCTTGGGTTATTATAATAGCCTCCTAACTAGTTTCCCTGCTTCTGCCTTTGACCCCCTTTCAGACTATGCTCGGTAAAGCAGCCAGAGTGACTATGTTAAACATGAGTAAATCATGTCAATCTTTTGCTCAAAACCCTAATAGCTTCCCATCTCACTCAGAGTAAAAGCCAAAACCGTTATAAATGGCTTTCAAGGTCCTAAGTGACCTTTCCTTCCAAGCTCCTTCCCACCTCATTTACTTTAAGCCCACATTTCCCTTCTTATTCACTCTGCTTCACATACCTAGGCTACCCTGCTGTCTATTTCTTAAATATACCAGGTACACTCCCACCTCAAGCCTTCTGCCTTGAATGCTCTTCCCTCATATCCACATAGCTCCTCTCTCACCTTTAAAATTTCCCTCAAATGTCAGTGAGGCCTTCCCTGACAACCTCCTCTCCCAGCTTCATTCTTCTCAGCAGCACTTGTCATGTGTAACACTGTATTTATTTTACTTACTTGGCTAATTGTTAGTTTCCTCCTCTAACCTTCAACTAAAATATAAACTCCAGGAGGGCCAAGTTTTCTCTTCATTTTGTCATTTTTATATCCCTAGGCAGGGACATAATTGGTACTTGATATACGTTGATAGAATTAATGATTAAAGAATGTACTATAAAATATTTTGCATTGTTAAGTGACATACCTGTGGTTCAATTCTTCCTCATCTTCAAATACTCCAAATGGTTTCATGGCATCAATTAATTTCTGTGTGTAAATATGATCAATTTCTTTTGGACATGCCAAGCTAATTGGAGAGGTGATTCCATAATGCTTTTGTTGACGCTGGCTGTCCAGCACGGTGTTTCTGTTCAAGAAAAATGAAACAGCAGAAAAAATTTAAAGTACCATATACTGATACATTAAATCTCTCAATCCACTCATTACTTTAGCTACCTTAAAAGTTTAGTAAGTACTAATGGTTGCAGCCCCGCTTTTTTTTTTAACGAAAAAAGGATATTTTGTGCTTATGTTGATGAAGGACTATTCATACTGCCTCAAGCTTTCATGGTTAGGATGTCTTTTCAAGCCAAAAGCAGCCTGTGTTGGCAACAGGACAGCTGTACCAACACCACTCAGCTCAAATGCAAAGAGCCTGAATGGGAGCTGGGCCAGGGCCACCTCCACTACACACCCTGCAGACTTAAGTACCATCTACAGTCAGTTTTTGAAAAGCAGTCAGCCACTTGAAAGAAAGCTCTAAGTAAAAAAAATGCCCCCCCCAAGAAACAAAAACATCCCATTAGCAGGTCCTAGTGAAACAGTCTAGCTTTTAAAAAGAAATCACAACTAGATTCGTTCCCGAAACATACATTAACATTCCTTGCTTGCATCAGAGTTTATAGTCCTAACATTCTGTCACTCTAGTTAATTGTTTTCTTCATTGTCTAAGTGAAGTCTATGACACCAGCTACCTTGGGCCCCACTTTCTTATCTCTATGCTGAAAAAGTTGACTATCAAGGTCCCTACTAGCACTGAAATTCCAAATCCATTATTCTGAACCTCCCTCATCTAGACAGGAAAACAAGGCAAGCAACAGAATTCCACATTCCCGTCCACTCATCAATTCCACTTATAAGTAAACACCCTTGGAGCAAGTCTAGTACAAGTGTACAAGGAGACATGTACAAAAATGTTCACTGCCACACTGTAACATTAAAAAACAAACAAAAAAAACTTAGAAATGACCTAAAACAATCACTAACAGGAAAAGGACTAAATTAGGGTGTATCCCTACAATGGAATACAATACAGTAGTACGAATTAATTAGAGCTGAAAATACTATCATGGACAAATCTCAAAGATACTATGTTGTACTAAAGAAGCTGTTGAATGACAAGTGTGATACTAGTTATATAAAGCTTAAAAACAAGTAAAACAATGCCGATTATGGACACATACATATGTAGTAATAGCATAAAAAACATGCAGCAATAAGCATCAAATTTGGAACTGTGGGGAACTCTGGAGAGGGAGGTGGATGGACCAGTGAAGAAGGTAACAGAATCCTTCAGATGTATTCGGTATGCTTGTTTTCTTTTAAATAAAGATATGTGTGTACACACACACACACACACACACGGAAAGTTATGCTTTGGGAGAGATGGATGGTGGCTACACAAATGATGCTTATGTTATTCTCTGCATTTTTCTTTATGTTTAAATTACTTCCTAATAAACTAAAATGTAAGAAGCTACAACAAAATCTTGCCAAGCACGGACACTGTTTCTGACTTATCAAAGTATGAGCAGGAGGTATAGACCGGCAGATGTACTGTGGATAGGTGGGGAGACCAGGGAGACCATAGTCATTACGAAAGAGAAACCCATGGGCTGGGATAGGTCATTCACTCCAGGAGACGTGGAGACAGCCGGTCAGGAAGGGAGGAGGGGGAGGGAGGGGGATGGTATTTGCGCCAATGCAGACAGGAGCAGAGACCGGCTCAGACAGCGCTGGGGGCAGGAGAGTAACCGACAATTTCTCCCCACGGACACACGCGCCTCTCTTCCGCCGCAACCTTGTCTGGGGGCGTCCTCAGAGGTAGGGCAGCCAGGGGCAGATGGGGACTCCTGCAGTCCCCGAGTCTGTGCAGCGGTGGCCAGGTGAGCCGCCGGGTGTAGGGGAGGTGCCCTTGCCAAACGGCCGGGAGAGGGGAAGGAGACCACTGAGAGAGCTCAGGGCACGGCGCGAGGGGCAGGGAACAGAAACGGGTGCCAGGCCGGCCACCCCAGCCCACCCCGTTATGCCTCGCCCCCAACCGCCGGCCCCCACCACTTACGCAGACATCTCTTTCATCGCTTCCTGCGCCTCCCTCACCGGCGAGTCTTTCGCTCTGGAGTCCTGTTCTTGCTCTTCCCTTCTCCTCCTGTCCACTTTCCTCCGCTCGCTTGTAGCTCGCTTGCTCGCTCACTGTCTCACTTACTACGGCCGAGGCATCCAACCGAGTAGTGAAAACACCAGAAAACCGGCTCTATTTATGACAATACAGCGCGGCCGACGCCAATATGGCGCCTCTTCCCAGCCTGCCCCTCGCCCGCTGAGGACCCGCCCCTGAAGGCCTGGACCCGCCTTGACCCCGCCCCCTCTCCCTTTGGGTCCCTGGAGGCTCCGGTGGCCCCGCCCACAGAGGCGCCGGCTGCGGTTGCCGACCCCGGTGCGAAGGAGCGTTTGGTCCCCTCCTTTGTCAGTGGGACTGTCAATCCAGACTAACTGCTTGGAAGGTAATTTGGAACATGTTTTCCTTGTTTCTCTTATTCTCTTATGAAAGCCTATATCATATATTTTTAAAAACTCCACAACCTTGCCTAGCGAATACTATTTTAACTCTTCCATTATACCACACTTTTAATCGGTTATAGTCATACATAATCTAATTAACCCACTCGTTGAGGAGATTATGTCGTGAAAAGGTCACACCCAGGAACGTGTGACTTTGCAGTTACCCCGGAGAGAAGCAAGCTTGTAAATTGGAGGCTAACTGTTCACCTCTAAGTACCGCCCCTGGTTCATGGCATTCTAGCAGTTAGGTAACGGAGGTTGATAGGAAGGCTGGCAGTTTGCAACAGGAGGATAAATACAAGGCTGAATCAAAATCGCACACTTTCAAATAGTGGAGATCATGTTCCATGTGAGTGTGAGGATGAAAACGGGAAAATGATGACAAATTTTAAAACATTAAAGGGCAGAAACAATTTAAAACACTAAGTCGTTACAAGGAAAAGAATGTCAAGAAGCTGCTTTTTCTTGGATAGAGAAGATAGAATCATAGAGAAGACAGAATTATTCATTCAAAAATATTTATTGATAACCTAATCTGTGCCAAGCACTGTGTGAGGCTCCAGTGATTTAATTGTGCATAAAACCAGATGTATATTCTTTAATTTTATGGAGTTTAGAGTTTTTGAGGAAACAGTCAAATATAAGTGATATTCTTCTGTTGTAGAACTAAATCGCCTACTATGTGTCAGGCACAGGAGATACTTAATTCCCGCTTTTGAGAATTCACAGTCTAGTGAAGGAGAACAAGCATATACAAAGATCATTAAAATATGGTATGGTCCGTGATAAGATGGGGTCAGGGCATTTAGGGAGGCCTAAAGCAGGCCGCCTAAACTTGAGGGCTGGGATGGTCAATAGTGGCTTCCTGGAATAGGGTATTCGATGATGGAGGAGTTAGGGCAAATTGCGTACATCTGGCCCTGGGCCCTGGTAAAAGCACCTTCCTGTTCTCTTGGCACATGGGCCTCGAGGGTCCCTGCTGCCTCTAGGTTTTGTCTAGGGCTCATTGGAAGGGCTTGTGGTCTCAGCCCAGAAGCATCACAGGGCTAATTCTTCTCCCACCTCTCCCCATCTCCCCAACAGTTTAGGGAATCTTGCCAGACTGGGAGACAGAAAGTCTCCTTTCCTCAAGGTTTCTAACCAAGACATTTGTTACTAGTTGCATAGAGTTCTCTTCAGGGCTCAGCCTCGTTTCAAACCCCAAAGCCAGAAAGAGTTGCAGGCTGATTCCGTTACCTGCACAGGGCAGAGTCCTTAGCTCAGCGCCAGGAACATAGGATTCAATAAATCTAACTCTTATTTACATTGATTACCATAACTCTTATCTCTTAATTTTTCTCTTTGTTTATGTATTTAATTTTGAAATATTTCTTTTCCTTCTTTCCTTTCTTTTCTCTTATAGAATGCTTTTGTTTTGCTTTTTTCTCTGTATAGAATGCTTTGTTTGCTCTTACCTGCTGCAGTAATTTGGAAGAAAGGTAAACTCTGCTTTCAATTCTACTAGTTCAAGGAAATCCTAAAGTGTTTCAAAGACAGCTTTAAGCCTTTATTTATGTAATTATCAAAGTCAACATCAGAACAATACTTTTTAATTCTGTTTTACGTTGTTATGTGTAGTTTGCCTCATTTTTAGTTGTTTCTTCCCATTTTCCCCATCTTTGTTAACCTACCTGGGATTGAATGCCAGTCCCCAACCCCCATTTCAATAAGGACACTTTCTTTCAAGAAAGAATATGTTTTCCTGTGTGTGTGGTGGGGGGGTGGTCTACATTGTAGCTGTACTTTTTAAGCTAAAATTTTCCAATTACAAATGTAACCCATGGGACTTCCCTGGCGGTCCAGTGGTTAAGACTTGCCTTCCAATGCAGGGGGTGTGGGCTCAATCCCTGGTCAGTCGATCCCTGATCCCAATGCAGGAGGTGCTAAGATCCCATATGGCTCATGGTCAAAAAAACCAAAACATAAAACAGAAGCAATATTGTAACAAATTCAATAAGGACTTTAAAAATGGTCCACATCAAAAAAAACAAAACAAAAAAAAACACAAATGTAACCCATGTTTGTAAAAAAGAAAAAAAAAGGAAGAGTGGAAATCTCTCCCTCCCTTCCATTCCTAACTCCATTTTTACTCCCCAGGGAACCATTATTAACAGCTGGGTATCTATCCTTCCAGAATGTTTTCGATATAACCCAAACCGCATATAAACATGTACCAGAGGTTTTGATTTTATTGTTTTTTAATTTTGAAAAATAAATAAAGGGGTCATACTGCACGTGTTGTCCTGCTTCTTTTTTTTTTTTAACCAAAAAAATCATGAGCATCTTTCTATGTTAGTAAATGTTATGGACTGAATTGTGTCCCCCAGATTTCATATGTTGAAGTTCTATTTTCCAGCACCCAAGAATGTGACTATATTTGGAGAGTTTAAATAAGGTCATTAGTGTGGCCCCTACTCTAGTACGACTGATGTCCTTATAAGAAGAGGAAATTTGGACACAGATGGCACAGAGGAAAGGCCATGTGAAAGCACAGGAGAAGACTGCCATTTACAAGCCAAGGAGAGAGGCCTCAGAAGAAACCAACCCTGCTGACATGTTGTCTCAGATTTCTAGCCTCCAGAACTGTGAGAAAAATAAATCTTTGTTGTTTAAGCCTCCTACCTAGTCTGTGTTACTTTCTTATGGAAGCACTAGCAAACCAATATAGGAAGTATACACCTACTTTTTCACAGTAATATGGTATTCTTTGTCATAAATAATATGTAATATTTGTCAAAATATATTTAACCATTTCACTGGTTCATTTGTCTCAGATTTGTTTATATTATAAATAATGCTATAGTAAACATCCTTATACATATATCCTCTACACTTGTATCACTAGTCATTAATAGATTCTTAATGATGGGATTACTATGTCAAAGGGTATGTATATTTAAAAATAAAATTTTTCAGACAGAGAAAGACAAAATGATATCGAAAACATATCACAGAATCTAAAACAATGATACAAATGGGACTTTCCTGGTGGTCCAGTGGCTAAGACTCTGCACTCTCAATGCAGGGGGCCGGGGTTCGATCCCTGGTTAGGGAACTAGATCCCCACCTGCCGCAACTAAAAGTTCACATGCCACAACTAAAGATCCCGCGTGCTGTAAGTAAGACTTGGCACAGCCAAATAAATAAATAAATATTTTTAAAATAATAAAAAATGATAAAAATGAACTTACAAAACAGAAATAGACTCACAAACATAGAAAACAAACTTATGGTTACCAAAGGGGAAAGGGGGGAGGGGTAAATTAGGAGTTTGGGATTAGCAGATACAAATTACTATATATAAAATAGATTAAACAGCAAAGACCTACTGTACAACACAGGGAACTATACTCAATTTAGAAATTTTCTAAATTTATATTTAGAAAATAATCTAAAAAAAGAATCTAATTTATACATATATGTATAACTGAATCACTTTGCTGTACACATGAAACTAACACAACATTGTAAATCAACTATATTTCAATAATAAATAAATAAATAAATAAAATAAAATTTATATATTCCAAATTGTCCCCTAAGAAGGTTATACCAATTTACACTCTAACCAACAATGTGTATGACATGGTCTATTTCCTTAAACCTTCACAAATGCTAGATATTAAAAATGCTTTTTATCCTTATTATGAAAATTATAAATGTGCAGAAAAGTAGAGAGAGTAGTAGAATAAAGCCATATACCTATCACTTAGATTTAATAATTACTTTAACATTTTGTCATATGTTTCACTTTTTTTAAATATAGACATTGTGACTCCTAAATATTTCACTCCTAATATTTTTTTCCTCCAGTTTTGTTGAGATATAATTGACAAATAGCACTCTGTAAGTTTAAGGTGTACAGCATAATGATTTGAATTATTGGGTTGGCCAAAAATTTCGTTTTCTGTAACATCTTATGGAAAAACTTGAACTTTTTGGCCAACCCAACACATACATCATGAAGTGATTATCACAGTAGGTTTAGTGACCATCTATCATCTCATATAGATACAAATTTAAAGAAATAGCAAAAAATTTTTTTCTTTTGATGAGAACTCAGGATTTACTTTCTTAACTTTCATATATAACATACAGCAATGTTAATTGTATTTATCATGTTGTACATTACATCCCTAGTACTTAGTTGTCCTGTAACTGGAAGTTTGTACCTTTTGACTGTCCAATTCCCCCACCCCCACCTCACTCCTAAATGTTCTGATATGCATATCTAAATAAGAACACTTCCCTACAGAACCACAATAATATCAACACACCCAAGTTTCCCCCACTTGTCCCCAAAATGTCTTTGCAGCAAGTTTGTTCATATTAGAATCCAATCAAGAACTATGATTGCATTTGGTTGTTGGGTCTCTGAAGTGTACTTTAATCTAGAACAGACACTCCTTTTCCTGTCCCTCCGTATCTCCCTCTTAAACCCTCCAGCTTTTTATTTTTCCTATGACACTGACTTGGAAAGACCAGGATAGTTGTTCCCCTAGAATGTCCTAATTTCTGGATTATTCTGATTGTCATTTAACAATAACCCCCATATTTTCTATTATTGGAAGTTGACACTGATGTCTTAGTTAGATTCAGGTTAAACACTGCATCACATAATGGTGTAACTAGGAGTCACATAATGAAGCTCTGGTTATTCCATTGTTGGTGATATTAAGATTGACCACTGGGTTTATG